CACGGGGCCAGTGCCATGGCACAGCAGGTTAATCCTCCGCCTGTGGTACCAGTATCCCATGGGCGCTGGTTCTAGTCCCAGCTGCTCCTCTTCCAGTCCATCTCTCTGCTGTGGTCTGGGAAAGCAGTAGAAGATGGCCCAAGTCCTTGGGCCCCTGCACCTGCATGGGAGACCAGGAAGAAGCTTCAGATCAGCACAGCTCACCCATTGCAGCCATTTGGGGAGTGAGCCAATAGAACAGAAGGAAGACTTTCTGTCTCTCCCTCTCACTGTAACTCTCTCAAATAAATAAAAATAAGATCTTAAAAAAAAAAAAATAGAATTGAGGCAGGGCCGTCAGAAACCCTTTTCATCAAGATGACACTGAAGGCGAGGCAGGCAGAGCCTGCCCCTCCCAAAGCCAAAGCTAAACCAAAGGCTTTAAAGGCCAACAAGACAGTGCTGAAAAGCTGCTACAGCCACAAAAGAAGAACATTCAGATGTCACCCATGTTCTGGGAGCTGACAAAGACACCAGACCTCTGGTGGCAGCCCAAATATCCTAGAAAGAGTGCCCCCAGGAGAAACAAGCTTGACCACTATGCCACCACCAAGTTCCCTTCAACCTCTGAGTCTGCTGTGAAGATGGAAGACAACACATTGGTGTTCATTGTGGATATCAAGGCCAACAAGCACCAGATCAAACAGGCTGTGAAGAAAATCTCTGACATTGATGCAGTCAGAGTCGGGCCAGCGCCGCGGCTCACTAGGCTAATCCTCCGCCTTGTGGCGCCGCCAGCACACCGGGTTCTAGTCCCGGGCGGGGCGCTGGATTCTGCCCGGTTGCCCCTCTTCCAGGCCAGCTCTCTGCTCTGGCCAGGGAGTGCAGTGGAGGATGGCCCAGGTACTTGGGCCCTGCACCCCATGGGAGACCAGGAGAAGTACCTGGCTCCTACCATGGGATCAGCGCAGTGCACCGGCCGCAGCATGCTGGCCGCAGCGCGCTGGCCGCGGCGGCCATTGGAGGGTGAACCAACGGCAAAAGGAAGACCTTTCTCTCTGTCTCTCTGTCTCACTGTCCACTCTGCCTGTCAAAAAAAATAATAAAAAGTCAACACCCTGCTCAGACCTGAGGAGAGAAGGCGTGTGTTCAACAGGCTCCTGATTATGTTTTAAGATGGCACTAACAAAACTAGGATCATCCACAAGCTGGCTAATTCTAAATCTGTTTTCTCATCATTAAAAAAAAAAAAAAAAAGAATTGAGCCAGGAGAATAGCTTTTAGGGAGCAAAGTTTGAAGTAGGTCAAAGGTGGGAGTGTGTTGGGGTGCTCAGATAACTGAACCTGACTTTATTTCAAACATACCGTCCATACCAAATAAAATCAGAGGGTGAGATACAGCTAGTGAGTTCTTTGTGTGCAAAGGCTTCACATGGACTTCCCTTAGGCTATCATCTGTTTCCTGCCAATTTTTTCATATTCATCAACTTCTAAAGTATCTGACAGCGGGTTCTGTGTCAATCCAACTGCCACTAACATATAGGCAGTGGCAAACAGGTAAGGCATTCCCAGGGGCATGAGGTCTTCATTTCTGAATGACATTTTGGTAAAAATATTTCTCCTTCTGTTTACTTGGCAGTCCCAATGTTACCTGGCAAATATAACCCTTTTCTCTCATTTCAAAGGTATATAAACAGTCTTCAATAAGCTTTATAGTTCAGCAAAAATTATCTAGGAGAATAACCATTTGTGCTTTAGCAATTTTTCATCCATTTTCATCACAAAGGTAATGTTATCACACAAAGTCAAAAACACTATGCCAAAACTAGAACAAAGTTTTAAAATTGTCCTGAGGTCAGTAGTACTTGTTTGGCTAACAGCTATGTACAGGAATTTTTTTTAAAGTACATTTAACAAATAAATACAGGAAATTAGACATACAGAATTTTCAATGGTTCCTGGGACTTTCATTAATTGAATATTATCATGTATCACCTAAAGAACTGTACAGAAGAAAAAAACTAAGTGAATCCTTGAAGATTAAAACCTTTTATAGGGGCTGGTGCTTCGGTGTAGCGGGTAAAAGCTACATTGCTGCCATCCTATATGGGCACCAGTTCGAGTCCCGGCTGCTCCACTTCCAATCCTGCTCTCTGCTATAGCCTGGGAAAGCAGTAGAAGATGGTTCAAGTCCTTGGGCCCCTGCACCTGCATGGGAGACCTGGAAGAAGCTCCAGGTTCCTGCCTTCGGATAGGGCTTCCTTCGGCTGTTGCATCCATTTGGGGAGTGAACCAGTGGCTGGAAGACACTCCCCACCCCCAGCCTCTGCCTCTCTGTAACTCTGCCTTTCAAATAAATAAATAAAGCTTATAAATCATTTATTTAAAAAAATACCTTTTATAAAAGAGTGGGGCCTGCATCCAGGAATAAAGCTGAAAACTAAAATACATACAGTGATCAGATGGATCAGACATGAATAAAGCAGACCAGGGCTGAGAGCTATGAGGTCAACAGGATGGATGTCCTGCCTTCAGGCCAGCAGTACTTCAGCTGCAGTGGATTATTTCCATGACGTGAGGTGAGTAAAGTTACTCTAATTTTTCAAGAATAAGCCAAAATCATATTTTTAAATGCTGGCAGCAAAATTTTAAAAATTTTATAACATCCACATGAGCAACATATTTCCTTGCAGAGTCCAGTCTAAGAAATGTTAGTTTCAACATCTGACAAATCAATGAGGCAATTTAATCAAGATTTTCTGTGGATTTCTGTGTCTAAAACATTTGATTGGATATCCTTTCATTTCAAAAGTTGTATCATATTTTATCTCATATGGTAAAAATAAAGTTTAAAGTTTTTTCAATTCTCTGATATTTTACTTTTTAAATATATGCCCAATAGAGTAACAAGCAGAAAAGTCTGAATAACAAAGCAGAAAGATGAAAGGGGAAAGAAAAAGCTAGAAAACACAAAGCCAATCCAGTTACCTGCATTATCTTTTGGAAAGGGAATTTTCTCCAATGACAAGGATGGCTTAGACTTTGCCCTCTTACTATAGATCCCTTCTTTATGTTTAATGTTTACAGTGTCTGGAAGTTCATCATCCCTTGTGCCTAGCACCTGAGCAGGGAAGTCTGGAGCAATAGCATCATTGGATCCTACAGAAAAACAGGAAAGTAATACAATTAACACACATGTAGACTTGAAGTTGAGAAAGACTTTTAAATATTTGCTTCTTAGATCACTTCTACCAAAAAGATGCCATGTTGGGAGGGTTGTAGAGTATTCAGAAGGAGATGTCAAATGAAGTTATAAGACATGCAGAATAAATTCCAATAATGCAAGAATGAGAAAAAAATTACATAAGAAAAGGCATATAAAGTACAGTACTTTATATGTTCAGGAAGGAGTCTATTTTTCCCAAGTCAGGAAATTTTCTGGAGAAAGAGAAAAAAATGAATTGTACCATAGGCTTTCTGTTATGAAGAAGGCTGAAAGATATTTTAGGCAGAAGTTACAACAGAAGTAAAGACAAAGGGGAATTTAAGAATAGCCAGGGGCCAGAGCTATACAGCAGGTAAAGCCACCACCTGCAGTGCCAGCATCCCATATGGACGCTGGTTCGAGTCCCGACTGCTTCATTTTGGATCCAGCTCTCTGCTATGGCCTGGGATAGCAGTAGAAGATGGCCCAAGTCCTTGGGCCCCTGCACTTGCATGGGAGACCCAGAAGAAGTTCCTGGCTCCTGGCTTCGGATCGGCGCAGCTCTGGCCTTGGCGGCCAACTGGGGAGTGAGCCACTGAGGAGTGGAACTGCTAAACTATATAATAATTCTACATTTAGTTTTTAAAGGAACCACCATACGGATTTTTTTTCTTTTCTTTTTTTAGATTTATTTATTTATTTATTTGAAAGGCAGAGTTACAAAGAGACAGAGAGGGAGAGACACAGAAATTCTCCATTCACTGGTTCACTCCCCAAATGGCCACAATGGCCAGGGCTGGGCCAGACCAAAGCCAGGAGCCAGGAGCTTCCTGCCAGTGTCCCACATAGGTACAGGTTCCCAAGTACTTCACCATCTTCTGCTGCTTTCCCAGGCGCATCTGCAGTGAGCTGGGTTGGAAGTGAAATGGCCGGGACTCGAACCGGCTCCCATATGGGATGCCAGCACTGTAGGCGGCAGCTTTACCCACTACGTCACAGCGCCAGCCCCCAATCATACTGTTTTTCAAAGCCCCAATCATACTGTTTTTCAAAGTGGCTAAATGACTTCATATTCCCACTTGGCAATACATAATGGCACCAGTTCTTCCACAACCTTACCAACATTTGTTATTTTCTATTCTACTTTTCAAAAATAATACTAATCCTAATGGTTGTGAAGAGGTAGCCTAATATGGTTTGGGCTTGTTACTTCCCTCAGAACTAACAATATAGAGCACCTTTTCATATGTTACTGGCTACTTGCATATCTTACTTAGAAGAAGTTATTCATATTCTGTGCCCATTTATAAATCAGACTGCTTGTTTTTTTCTTACTGAGTTGTAAGAATTCACCAATTATTTTGGGTATCAATCCCTTATCAGATATATGAGTTGCAAATAATTCTTCCCATTCTGGGATTTATCTTTTTACTCTGTTGACAGTATTCTCTGATGTACAAGTATTTCTAATTTATTGGTCTAATTCTTCTATTTTTTCCTTTTGTTGCCTCTTTGGGTATCATGGTAGAATTTTAGAAAAATTTCTTTTTTACTCTAGATTTCTTTAATCACCAAGTCATGAATAAAAAAAACCTTTTACTCTCTTCCATTAAAGACAAAAAACATACTATTTAATTATTTGGCTTTCTTAGTGTCTTTCATTCCCAATTAGCTTCTGGCATTCTGGCTCACTTTTTTTTTTCTTTTTTTGACAGGCAGAGTTAAACAGAGAGAGAGAGACAGAAAGGTCTTCCTTCCATTGGTTCACCCCCCAAATGATTGCTACCGCTGGCACGCTGCGCTAATCCGAAGCCAGGAGCCAGGTGCTTCCTCCTGGTCTCCCATGCAGGTGCAGGGCCCAAGGACTTGGGCCATCCTCCACTGTACTCCCAGGCCACAGCAGAGAGCTGGCCTGGAAGAGGAGCAACCGGGACAGAATCTGGCGCCCCAATCGGGACTAGAACCCTGGGTGCCGGTGCTGCAGGCGGAGGATTAGCCTAGTGAGCTGTGGCGCCGGCCCTAGTTCACTTTGTAACTAATTTTTTTTATTATTTGTAAGAATAATATTTATATTAAACTGGCTTCAGAGTTCACCACTGATCACTTTTAGCATTGCTATATTTTTCTTTCTTGAATTCTTCATTTATATCCATCTTTTCATTGGGATGAGTATATTAAAGAGAATTTTTCAAGAAGATGCTGGAGACCGGCACCGTGGCTCAATAGGCTAATCCCAGGGTTCTAGTCCCGGTCGGGGCACCGGATTCTGTCCCTGTTGCTCCTCTTCCAGTCCAGCTCTCTGCTGTGGCCAGGGAGTGCAGTGGAGAATGGCCCAAGTCCTTGGGCCCTGCACCTGCACGGGAGACCAGGAGAAGCACCTGGCTCCTGGCTTCAGATCAGCGCGGTGTGCCAGCTGCAGCGGCCATTGCGGGGTGAACCAACGGGAAAAAGGAAGACCTGTCTCTCTGTCTCTCTCTCTCTCACTGTCCACTCTGCCTGTCAAAAAGAAAAAAAGATCCCGGAGTAAAATAGATTTTTATTGTACTTGCATATTGGTGAAATAAATTTTTATTGCCATATTACTTGGTGAGTATGTACTGGGATCCATAAATCCTATAATTATATCCTCTTTCCATTAAGTATAAATTTAGTTCAGTTTATTTCTGATATTTAATATTTTAATTAAGGAATGACATGTTTTGGTTTTTATAAATTTTAAAATCATGTGTTTATAGAATAAATTTTAAATTTCTTTTTTTTTGACAGGCTGAGTGGATAGTGAGAGAGAGAGACAGAGAGAAAGGTCTTCCTTTTGCCATTGGTTCACCCTCCAATGGCCGCCACGGCTGGCGCACTGCGGCTGGCGCACCGTGCTGATCCGATGGCAGGAACCAGGTGCTTCTCCTGGTCTCCCATGGGGTGCAGGGCCCAAGTACTTGGGCCATCCTCCACTGCCTTCCCGGGCAACAGCAGAGAGCTGGCCTGGAAGAGGGGCAACTGGGACAGAATCCAGCGCCCCGACCGGGACTAGAACCCGGTGTGCCAGCGCCGCAAGGCGGAGGATTAGCCTATTGAGCCGCAGCGCCAGCCAAATTTTAAATTTCAATTAAAATCTTTAAATACTATGCATCATGATCTCTCACTAATAGATTGTATGAGAACTTGCAATCCACATACCATGTTCTTTTTTCAGAAAAGGGAAGTTTTGGGGCTGGCGCTGTGGCATAGCGATAAAGTCACCACCTGCAGTGATAGCATCCCATATGGACACTGGTTCGCGTCCTGGCTGCTCCACTTCTGATCCAGCTCTCTGCTCATCCCATATGGGATGCCGGCACTGCAGGCGGCAGCTTTACCTGCTATGCCACAGCGTACAGCTCTATTGGTCTAAGAAAGAATTGTTTTCTTTTCCCAACTTTATCCTCAGACTCGATAGATAACATGAAAACTACAATCTCAAATGCATATGGCTAACTTGATCTCCTTTTTGTCTCACTGGTGCTCACAGAGACAACATTTCTCAGGACTCAAAGCTCTACCCAAATCTTTTTCTCCTCCCACTACCATCCAATCATTGTATATGTTATTGTCTACAACTAGATAGATGTTTTAGGTATATCAAGACACTCTAGGGCTCAAAGAATACTGGGACTCCTGACCAGACTTCTATTGTCTATATTCCGTCTTCTGAACTAGGGAGTACAGGGGATTTTTCTACCAACAATCAATTAAATGAGCTTGTTTTATTTCTGGTAACCTTACCAGAATACTGTTTTTAAAACCACAGCCTTGCAGACAGTGGACATTTCTTCATTTCTAGCTATAAACTTAATTAATCCTAATATTTGGTGAACATTTTTGTGTTTTGTCTTTTTTTTCTATCATAGTAGAAAATCAGAGGAGTCATCAGAGGTTTTAATGCAGTAACCATTAGAAACTAGTTTGGTCAACTGTCATATAAAGTTAACAACAACAATAAAAATCTGCCAGCAGGGCCAGTGGTATAGTGTAGCAGGTTCAGCTACCGCTTATCACCGGTTTGAGTCCCAGTTGCTCTGCTTCCAAACCAGCTTCCTGCTAATGCAGTCGAATATGGCCAAAGCAGCTTGGTACCTGCCAACCATGTGGGAGATCACAAGGGAGTCCCTGGCTCCTGGCTTCAGGCAGGCCTAGCCCTGACTGTTGTGGCCATCTGGGAAGTGAACCAGCAGATAGAAGACGTCTCTCTCTGTCTCCTTCTCTTGTCACTTTCAAATAAATAAATAAATCTTAAAAAATTCCTAAAACCAGGGATAATGTCTCTTTGCTTTGTAATTCTATACATACAAATATGTTTGTAACAGATGGTAAAGAAAACTATCTCCCTAAAGTGAGCCAAGTCATCTCCTATGGATGGTTTCAGAACGCTATCACGTGCATTAAAATATACAACACCAATTTCATACCTTTACCTTAAAACCACCACAGGAATTACTGATTAAATTCCACTAGGAGATGCTATTCATTTCCTAGGTCTGCAGTTTTTCTATAGTGAATTCACAGAAATGTTTCAGGATATTATAAAATGTTAGGGAAACAACAGTAATATTTTACGTCTGGTGTACTCCACAAACTACTAGCTCAAAAGAGTTCAAAGTTTCAATATCAGATTGTGCTATTTTCATTCAATGCTGCCATGTCTTTCAATGGCTGGATTTTTGGCAGTTGCTACAACAACAACAACAACAACAAAACTGAAAATGGCTGTGCTTCACTGTTGTAGAGTGTCCAAAAGTCAAAACAAAAAAATAAATAGTTAACAGATTTTATCTGAGTTGTCCGACCAAAACAATAAGTGTTCATGTCCTAATATCTTAGCAGTTGTTTGAAAAAATACTTAATGTATATATATGCATTATACAGAAGGCTAAGAAAAAAAATCACTGAACAGTACAGATTCTATGAACTAAGAAAGCATAGAAACCTATGCCTTAGATGAAGTCCATTAACCCAAACAATTTTCCATAGAATTTTCTTTAACAGATATTTGTTAATTGCTTATGTAAACTTACCTACCTGAATCAGAGAGCAAAGCATGAAAAGTTCCATATTTTACTGAAAGATTAAAAAGCACTGAACTTTAATTTGCCATTCCAGAATAAACCAGTCAACACACAAATAAAATTTAAAAATGTAAAGTTCCGAAAAATTTTTACATAATACCTGAATGTGAGCTCTCAATGGTGGTGTCTGATTTGGAATCTGGAAATGAAGGAGTCTTTCCTAACTGTGGAACATAGAACATCTTCGAACTGCCAGATGGCTTATATGGCAATAGTTCAGGCTGGGCTAAGGAGGTAAAGATCAGAACAATTAAGAAATATTTATTAATTCACCAAATACACGTTGAGAGCTTTTTAAGTGCCACTCAGTGATCAAGACTTTTGAGTCACATACACACAAAATGAATGAACAAAACAGAAACTTATCTTTGCTTTCAAGAGGAACCAGAATTCTTGAGGGAAATGAATAGTAAACCATAAATGTACACATAAAAAATGCTGAGAAATTAGGAATACAGGAGAGACTGGGGCAGGACAAAGTTTAAATAGGACAAAAGGAATACATTTCACTGAGAAGATGAATTTCTATCGATATAACTGCCTAACCACTTTTGAAAATGTCTATGGGAGCCGGAGCTGTGGTAGAGTGGGCAAAGCTACTACCTGCAGTGCCAGCACCCCATATGGGTGCCAGTTCGAGTCCTGGCTGCTCCACTTCCAACCCAGCTCTCTGCTATGGCCTGGGAAAACAGTAGAAGATGGCCCAAGTCCTTGGGCCCTTGCACCCTCATGGGAGACCTGGAAGAAGCTCCTGGGCTCCTGGCTACAGATCGGTGCAGTTCCAGCCATAGTGGCCATTTGAGGAATGAACCAGCAGACAAAAGATCTCTCTCTTTCGCTGCCTCCCTGTAACTCTGCCTTTCAAATAAATAAAGCTTTATTTAAAAAAAATAAAAAGAAAGAAAAAAGAAAGAAAGAAAATGTCTTTGCTAGGGTCAGCACTGTGGCATAGGACAGTAGGTAATGCTACCACTCAGGATAACAGCATCATTTATGGCCAATGGTTCATGTCCCAGCTGCTCCACTTCCAATCCAGCTTCCTGCTAATGGCCTGGGAAAAGCAGCAGCAGATGACCCAAGTCTTAGGGTCCCTGCACCCATGTGGGAGACCTGGATGGAGCTCCTGGCTCCTGGCTTCGGCCTGGTCCAGCCCTGGCTGTTACAACCATTTGGGTAGTGAACCAGCAAATGGAAGCTCAATCAATTTCTTTCTCTCTCTCCCTCTAACTCTGCCTTTCAACTAAATAAGTAAATCTTCTACTAAAATATTTTTTGAAGAAATAATTATTTCTTAGTGGGGTAAATGGAATCTCATTGTTTAAATATTATCTGATTATTATAGAGGCTGAGTTTTTTTCTAGATACAGTTGCCCCTTTATATCCTTAAGAAGATTGAATCTAGGACCCCTGTCCCCCACAAATACCAAAATCTGCAGATGGTCAAAACCCTAATATAAAATAGCTTAGTATTTGTCTATAATCTACCCAACATCCTCCTATACATTTTAAATCATCTCTAGATTACTTATAATAACTAATACAATGTAAATGCAATATAAATGGTTATTATACAGTACTGTTTAGGAAATACTGAAAAGAGAAACAAGTCAGTATGTGTCTGGTACTGATGTGGTATTTTTCTAACATTCTTTATCTCTGGTTTACTGAACTCACCAATGTGGAATCTATGGGTATGTGGAACCAACTGTATTTGTTTTCCCTTCCAGGTGTGAAAACTGTCAAAGGCCCTTCAAGTCTATCCTCCTTCCCTTTCATCTACACACTATGTTCTCCAATTTCCCTTATAGTCGTAAATGCTCATATGAGTAACTATGTCCCAGAGGATAAGTGTGAGAATGTTTACAACTTCCACTGACTCCATTAAAAACAACCAATTAAAGCCACCCCAGTACTACAGTTCCTGATAGCTGCAGCAGCTACTCTGGAATTGGAAACAGCAATCACCCTGAGAGGGTGACAGAGCCACCACATCTGGATCACAGGTCCCTGCTCTAGACAGCTTGCCTGTAGTTTGGAGTTTCCATGATAAATTAGTCTATCCTGTACCCTAACACACAGTCAGTAAGCAGTCAACTAATTCTAAATCAACTGAAAACACCACTATCTATAAGATCTTGAACTAATTACTCTTCTATTTTTGCATCAGTTTTCTTAACTATAAAGTTGACATAATTCCTACCTCTTAGAGTTACTGTGAAAACTAAATTGATTAAAAAACATATAGTGTCTTAAACAGTAATTTTGATTTGTTTGGAGGCAAAGTATTGAATTTTTCCAATTCTTTTTCTCCATAAGTTATGAATTTAGTAACAAATTATGTAATCTATTTTCTCCCTTGTGAGAAAACAAGTTACCCTTTTTTACCCAAATTGTGTTATTCTTCCTGATAAACTTTAAGATTAAACAAGATCAAAAGAATTCTATTAGAACTTAGTATTTAAATTTGGAGTGGGGAAGAGGGAAGGAGACAGATAAACAGTGAGACAGGGAGACCTCCCATGTGCTAATTCATTCATTCCCCAAATGCCCAAAAGGGTTGGGCTGGGGCTGGACCATGGCTAAAGCCAGGAGCCAGGAATGCAATCCAAGTCTTCTATGTGGGTGGCAGAGATCTCCAAGGTGATATGCATCAGCAGGATGCTGAAATGCAGAATAGTTGAGACTCAAACCCAGGCACTCCAGTGTGGGTTGCAGACCCTGGTGATGGTTCAAGTAATTAGGTTCCTACCACCCACATGGGAGACCTGGATTGAGGTCCCAGCTCCTGGTGGCTCTGGCTCCAACCCAGCCTCGGTCATCATGGACATTTGGGAAGTGAACTAGTCAATGAGAGGTCAGTCTCTTCTCTCCTCCCTCTCTGTCTCGGACTCTCTGCCTATCAAATAAAAATTTAAAAATGTTAAATAAAATTAATTTTTTACTAGAGAGATAGAATCACAAATTCCTAAGATTATTATACATAAACATTGGCATAATCATATGAAACACAATCAAAATTTCTTACCATCCGTGCCACTAGTAGGAGTGATCTGTTGAACTGAGGATGATGAAGCAAACCTGACAGGAGGTTTGGGTACCTTTTGGGTTCTGGGCTCTGGAATTTCATGGCCATCATCTTTAGCATTAATAAAAATCTCAGATGAGAACATGGTCTTTTCTGGACTTTCTGTAGTTATCTGAGTGACGGCATCAGATGATATTTTTCCAGAAAAAGGGGTCTTACTCTCCTCTAGAAATCTGAACAAAAGAAAGGACATAGCAGGTGATATCCTTGGCTTATTAAGAATAAAAATCTCAAGGACTATTCAAGTAACTACAAGGAATATATTGTGGACATATGAATCTCAAATGTTAAGAAATATCCATGGGATCCCTGATTTTGTTACATATTAAATACAATGCACTCACGAATGTGCTTACTTTTATTTTGAAACCTACTTTTAGTTTTAATTTAGAATTCCTTTGTTTAGCTCAGGAAATAGTACATTTCAGTTGAAAATATACTCATTTTCTTTTAAAGCACTAGATGTTACTATAAATTAGGCAACTGTGTTAAGTGTATAGAGTATACAAAAACAAACAAAATATGCAGAGCCTTCCCTCAGGAGTTCCTAAATCAGTGGGGAACCACAATTTCTCAAGGTTACAGTTATGTGTGAAGGTTACAGAATTCATATTAGAGTGGAATAAAAAAATGATTGAATAAATAGAGAAATTTTGCTCAAGAATTCCAAATAACATTTCTAGATACCTCTCACCAAAGGTGGTAAAGCTTAATCTCCTCCTTCCCTGAATAGGGGTCAGACATGGTGAATTTCAGACTAGAGTATAAAAAGGGAGAAACAGCCACTTCACAGTGAAGGCACACAGCAAACTGCCTCAGCCTAGTGATTACATCATACAATCCCTGTATTGTCTGAGAAAGGAGAACTTCACTTCTGTGATGTTCTTTCCTAAAACCTGAAACTACAGTCTAATCATGAGAAAACACCAGCCAAATCCCAACTGAGATACTATAGGTCCACAAAATATGAAAGGACTGTTATAGACCACAATTGTCTCAGTCTATTTGGCTGCTGTAACAAAACACGACTGACTGAGTGGCTTATAAAAAAAATTTTTTTTATTTCTCATGGCCTTGGAGGCTGAGAAGTTTAAGATCAAGGCAGTGGCAGATTTGCAATCTGGTGCAAGCCTGCTTTTAGTTCATAGATGGTACTTTCTCAGTACATCTTCACTTGGCAGAAGGGACTAGCTAGCCCTCTGGGGACTCTTAGAAGAGCACTAGTTCTGGGGCCTGCATTGTGGCAACGCTGTCATTCCATATGGACACCAGTTCAAGTCCCAGCTGCTCCAATTCCAATCCAGCTCCCTGCTAATGCGCCTGGGAAAGTCATGAAGATGGCCCAAGTGCTTAGGCTCCTACATTCACATGGAAGACCTGGGTGAAGGGCCTGCCTCCTGGCTTGGGCCTGGCCCATCTCTGCCTGTTAAAGCCATTTGGGGGGTGAACCAGTGGATGGAAGACAGCTCTCCCCCACCTTCCACCTCACTGATAATTCTGCCTTTCAAACAAATCAATCAATCTTGTGCCATGGTAGGTTAAGCTGCTGCCTACAGTGCCAACATCCCATATAGGGACTAGTTCAAATCCCAGCTGCTCCACTTCTGATCCAGCTCTGTGCTAATGGCCTGGGAAAAGCAGCAGAAGATGGCCCAAGTCTGTGAGCTCCTCTCACCCACATGGGAAACCTGGAAGAAGCTCCTGGCTCCTGACTTAGGCCTGGCCCAGTACTGGCCGTTAACAGCTGTTTGAGGAATGAACCAGCAGATCAAAGATCTCTCTGTCTCTCCTCTCCTTGTAATTCTTTCAAATAAATAAATAAATCTTTAAAATAAAAAGAGTACTAGGTGGATTCTGAAGAATCCACCTCATGATCTAATCACCTCACAAAGGCCCCACTTTCAAATACCCTAGTGATTAGATGTGAGCCTGAGAATTTTGGAGGGACAGAGAAATTTAGACTATGTAACATTATGTCCCTATACTCCATCTCCAAATTCAAGTCCTTCTTGCAAGCAAAATACATTCATTCTTTCTCAATAGCTCCCAAAGCCTTAACTCATTCCAGGCATCAACTTTAAAGTCTCTGTCCAGAGTGTCACCTAAATATTACTTAAATCAAATTATGGGCAGAACTCAGTGTACAACCCATTCTGAGACAAAATGCTTTCCAAGCTATAAATCAAAATGTGAAATCAAATGTGTTCTGTGCTTCTAAAATATTATGGTAGGACAGGCACAGGATAAACATTCCTGTTCTAAAGGGGACAAATGGAAAAGAAGAAAGGGTTAAACGATCCCAAACAAGTCCATAATCTTAAAACTCAAGAATCATCTTCTTTGACTCAAGGCTGTGCCCTCCGACCCACTGGGGAAGAGGTTCTACTTTTTGGATCCACTATGAGTGGTGGCTGGGTGGTGCTCTGGGTGGCTGTACCCCTACTGTCGTTCTCTGTAGTGGAGTGGAGCTACTTCTTTAATGGCTCTGTGCCAGGGTCACACACTGGCAGCTCTCCTACACTGGAATCAAAGCCTGTTGCCTTGCTGGTAGCTTTGTTCTCCTGGCTCATGTTGCCCTGTGGGAGTTCTCCTAGGTGGCCCTGTCATCCACAGTGGTTTCCTGCCTGGGTTCTGTGGCCGTTTGAGGTATCTACACCTCCGCAGCATTGCTGAGTGCAGCGCATGCAGTACTGGAGCCATATCTAGCGCACTAAGGGTGACAGCACGAGGGTAACAGGGCCTAGAGGCAGTGTTGAGTAGTAGTAAGCACCAAGGGCCCACTGTTGCCCTTGGTATCTCTTTTGACATTTTTTTGTCCCCATGGCTCTGTAATGAAAGTGACAGTCCAATGATCTCCAAAATGTCTGTGATAGGAATAGCAGTCTTCATAAGCTCCAAATGCCTTTGGGATCATTCTTCAGTTGTCTCGATGACCAGCACCTGGCTGATCCATCCTAATCTTCTCAACACATACCTGGCCATACCACCACTGAACAGTGTAATCTCTCCGAATATACTTCTGCATTTTTTACAAATGGATGGGCTGAAAGCTTTCCAAATCTTCACTTTTTGCTTCCTTTTGCATTAAAGTTTCATCTTTAAATAATTTCTCTTTTCTCACATTATATTATCACCATTTAAGATAAGTCACACCATCAACACTTTGCTTAGAAATTTCTTCAGCTAACTACACGATTTCATCATGTACAAGTTCTACCTTCCACAAAACACCAGTATATGAACACAGTGCAGCCAAGTTCTTCAACACTCCATAACAAGGAATGCCTTTCCTCTACTTTCCAATAACAGCTTCTCCATTTCTGTGGGAGACTTCATAATGGCCTTTATTGTGCAGCTTTTTAATCACTTATGTTATCTCTAAGAAGACTGAGGTTTTCTCTATAGTTTTTGTCCTGAATTCACTAGAATTGTCCTTAATGGTTTGTTCACAGGAATGTAGGCCTTTGCTAGCATGCACCTGAAATTTCTTCCTGCTTTGACCCTTAATCTAGTTCCAAAGCCACTTTCACATTTTTAGGTATTTGTTTCAGCAATAAATTCACTGCTTGTTATCAATTTTTGTCTTAGTCCACTTGGGCTGCTATGTGAAAACATTAAGGACTGGGTGACTTATTAAAAAACAGCTATCTATTTCTCATAGTTTTGGAGTAAGTTATGCAAGCCCAAGATCAAGGTGGTGGATATTTGGTTGCCTGCCTTCTGGTTCAGATGAGGCCTTCCTGAAATGTCATCATATGGCAGAAGTGAGAATTCTTTGAAGGGTACTAATTCCATTTATGAGGGTTCTGTTCTCATGACCTAATCACCTCCTAAATTATTCCCCTTTCAAATACCATCACACTAAGGATTAAAGTCAACATGTGGATTTTAGGAGGACACAGACATTCAGACCACTGCAAAAACTAACTAAATGGAATATAATATACTGGTTTCTGTCCTAGGACAAGAAAAGGATGTTAATGGAAAAACTGGCAAAACCCAAACACTGAAAATTAGTTAATAGTACTATTTAAATGTTGGTTTGTTAATTTCGACAAGTATACTATGGTAATGTAAGATGTTAACAACAGAAGAAGCTTGGATAGGGTTATAAGGAAATCTATCATGTTTTGATCTTTTCTATAAATCTAAAATTATTCCAAAATTTTAAATTATTCAAATTTTGGGGATAAAATTTTAAAAAGAAAACAGGTGTTTGCAGTTGCCACCATACTACCATCACTAACCCCAAACTTCCTCCACCTTACCAATTTGCAGCCAAAGGAGAAAGGCAATGAGTAAGAAGTCTATATCACGGCTTTTACAAAGCAAATGGTCTGCCAATCTACTGGTGGAAAAGGACACAGGAAGCCACTAATTTAAAAAGTTGTTCATAAGTGTGCACCCTCCACCACAGAGGTACAAAAACCTACCTTATCATTATAGACCAGGTACTGTAGCACTCCGATTTTAGTTCCCTGACTCTCTGATTAGCAAACTCCCCTTCCAGAAATTGGTAGTAGACATTACTCAGAAATTCAAAACAGACCTGTGTTTCTAGAGTGTACCTATTGGGGCTTAGCAGGAGGCAAATGAAGCTATCTGGCTGGTCTTTTTAAAGAAATCCACCTGTGTGCTATCCAAGCTAAATGTGTAACAATTCCACCAAAAAACATCCAGTTAGCACATCACATACAAGAAGAATGTGCTTAGCAATCTGCTAGGATGGGAAACAATTCATTTTCAAAATAACAATGGGGCAGGCAGGTATCCTAGCAGTTAGGATGTCTCTTAGGATACCCATGTCCCACACTGGAATACCTGGGTTTGATGCTCAGCTCTCGCTGCTGACTACAGCTCCTGTTAATGCAGTGATGACTCAAGTAAGTGTGTTTCTGCCACAAATGGGAGATTTGGATTAAGTCTCCACTGCCAGCCTTGACTCTGGCCCAGCCCACGCTATTGAGGGGATTTTGAGAATAAGTCAGTAGAAGGAAACATGCTTTTTCTCTTTCTCTTCCCCCACCCTCCCACCGCCTCTCTCATTCTGCCTCTCAAATAAGTAAAATTTTTAAAAATTAATTTTCTAGGCCGGCGCCGCGGCTCACTAGGCTAATCCTCCGCCTTGCGGCGCCGGCACACCGGGTTCTAGTCCCAGTTGGGGCGCCGGATTCTGTCCCGGTTGCCCCTCTTCCAGGCCAGCTCTCTGCTGTGGCCAGGGAGTGCAGTGGAGGATGGCCCAAGTCCTTTGGCCCTGCACCAATAGGAGACCAGGAGAAGCACCTGGCTCCTGCCATCGGATCAGCGCAGTGCGCCGGCCGCAGCGCGCCAGCTGTGGCGGCCATTGGAGGGTGAACCAACGGTAAAAGGAAGACCTTTCTCTCTGTCTCTCTCTCTCACTGTCCACTCTGCCTGTCAAAAAAATAAAAATAAAAAAATTTTAAAAATTAATTTTCTTTTTCACATTACTGGTAGTGTTTAATGTTAGACATTTCCCCCCATGGGTTCAAAAGGAACCTAACTATATGACTACAAGTGGAAGAAAAGGACTGAGAAATCAGGCATTGACAATGTTTTTCTATTTTCATTTGTGTATAAATTTTTGACATAAAGGAAGGGATATAAAGCATTAATGAAAGTGAAAATAATCAGCAAACAATTGTCAGCAGTTCAACTTTGTAGCAATTTTAAACAAACATCTGAAATTGTTACGGGCAATGCTAGTATTTGGATGTTTTTTTTAAAAAAAAAACAATTTCTGGCCGGCGCCGCGGCTCACTAGGCTAATCCTCCGCCTAGCGGCGCCGGCACACCGGGTTCTAGTCCCGGTCGGGGCACCGGATTCTGTCCCGGTTGCCCCTCTTCCAGGCCAGCTCTCTGCTGTGGCCAGGGAGTGCAGTGGAGGATGGCCCAGGTGCTTGGGCCCTGCACCCCATGGGAGACCAGGAAAAGCACCTGGCTCCTGGCTCCTGCCATCGGATCAGCGCGGTGCGCCGGCCGCAGCGCGCCGGCCGTGGCGGCCATTGGAGGGTGAACCAACGGCAAAAGGAAGACCTTTCTCTCTGTCTCTCTCTCTCACTGTCCACTCTGCCTGTCAAAAAAAAAAAAAAATTTCTTATTGTGGAAAGTATATGTAGCATTTTTACTATACAGATTTCATTTATTCATTATATTTTTCTTTTTTTAAAAAAATTTTATTTATTTGAAAGAACAACAGAGAGGGAGAGAGAAGAGAGAGGTCTTTCTATCTATTGGTTCATCCCCTAAAGGGCTGCAACAGCCAGGGGTAGGCCAGGCTGAAGTCAGGAGCCAGAAACTCCCTCCTGGTCTCACACATGGGTGGCAGGGACTTAAGTACTTAAGCTTTCTTCCACGGACATCCCAGGCACATTAGCAAAAAGTCAAATCAGAAGCAAAGCAGATGGGACTCGAACTTGCTCTCCAATATGGGATGTCAGTGTTCTAAGTGGTGGCTGAACCTGCTGTGCTACATCACTGGCTCCTTCACTGTTCTTTTTGTTATAAAATTGTCCTACATGTAAGTACATGTCTTCAGTGCTGTTCATTTAAGTGTGTTATTAAAATATAATAAGCTTCCAAAAAAAGAATATTGGGGGTCAGCGCAGTGGTGCAGCGGGTTAACACCCTGGCCTGAAGTGCCGGGATTCCATATGGGTGCCAGTTCGAGACCCAGCTGCTCCACTTCCGATCCAGCTCTCTGCTGTGGCCTGGGAAAGCAGTAGAAGATGGCCCAAGTCCTTGAGTCCCTGCACCCATGTTGGAGATCTGAAAGAAGCTCCTGGCTTTGGATGGGTGCAGCTCCGGCTGTTGTGGCCAATTGGGGAGTGAACCAGCAGATGGAAGATACCTCTCTCTGCCTCTCCTCTGTGTAACCCTTTCAAATAAGTAAATAAATCTTCATATAAAAATATTGTATTGCATTAGAGTAATATCAAAAATAAAACAAGAATTTTTGACTCTCTATCCTGTGCCTACCGTTCATTAATTGAAAAGGACAATTATGACAGAAGAAAAAACTAGACCAATATCTCTTATGAACAAAATAAAAAATCTTCAACAAAATGTTTAAAAATCAAATAGAGTACATGTGTGCACACTGTGTGCATGTTTACTCTCTATCATTGTAGTGTATGAATTCCTACCAAAGTTCACACCAGGAATGCAAGGTGAGTTAGCATTAAAAAATCAATCAATGTGATTTATCACATCAAAAGAATAAAGATAAAGTGCATATAATCTTATCAATACAAACAGAAAAAGCATCTGATAAAATTCAGTTATTATGCACGGTGAAAACTCCCACAACAGTCAGTTTTTTTGGCTCAGTGGTTAAGTTGCCAGTTGGGACACTTGTATATCATATCAGAGTGCCTGGATAGAGTCCCAGCTCTGCTTCTGACTTTAGCTACCTGCCAGTGTGCCCCCTGAGAAGCAGTGCTAACAGCACAAGTAACTGGGGTCTTGCCAGGTCATACCCATGTAGGACACCTGGACTGAGAGTGCTTGCCTCATGCTTTAGTCTCTGGCAAAGGGCCATGACAGGCATTTGGGGAACAGAATCAGTGAATGGAACTTCTCCCTTTGTCCCTCTGCCCCTGTCTCTCAAACAAACTCACACCAAAAGGAATCTATCAAAACAAAAACACAAAACAAAACAAAAAAAAACTCAGAGAAACTACCACATTTCATAATGAAATGTTGAAAACGTCCTTAGGAGATTAGGAATAAAATAAGGATGCCAACTGTTACCACTTCTATTAACATTTTCTTAAAGGTTTTAAATGGCATTAGCAGGGGCCTGTGCTGTGGCATAGTGGATAAAGCCGCCACCTGCAGTGCCAGCATACTATATGGGCTCCGGTTTGAGGCTCAGCAGCTCCTCTTCCAATCCAGCTCTCTGCTACGGCCTGGGAAAGCAGTAGAAGATGCCTCAAGTCCTTGGACCCTACACCCAAATGGGAGACCTGGAAGAAGCTCATGGCTCCCGGCTTCAGATCGGCACAGCTCCGGCCGTTGCGGCCATTTGGGAAGTAAACCAGCAGATGGAAGACCTTTTTCTCTGTCTCTCCCTCTCACTGTCTGTAACTCTACATCTCAAATAAAATAAAATCTTTAAAAATAAATAAACAAAAAAGTGGCATTAGCAGTAAGGCAAGAAAAAAGAAATAAGAGGTATATGAATTTGAAAAAGTTATTTTTCATACTTAATAATTGTGCTCACAGAAAATTTAAAAGAATCTACACAAATTGCTTAGGATATAGTAAAAATTTTTTTGACAGGCAGAGTTAGACAGTGAGAGAGAGACAGAGAGAAAGGTCTTCCTTCCGTTGGTTTACCCCCCAAAATGGCCACTACGGCCGGCGTGCTGCGCCGATCTGAAGCCAGGAGCCAGGTGCTTCTTCCTGGTCTCCCATGGGGTGCAGGGCCAAAGGACTTGGGCCATCCTCCACTGCCTTCCTGGGCCACAGCAGAGAGCTGGACTGGAAGAGCAGCAACCGGGACAGAACCCGGCGCCCCAGCCAGGACTAAAACCTGGGGTGCCGGCACCGCAGGTGGAGGATTAGCCAAGTGAGCCACGGCACCGGCCAGGATATAGTAAATTTTTTTAAAAAAAGTTTTATTTATTCTAAAGGCAAGATGACAGAAAAAGAGGGGGAGAGATAGAGATCTCCCATTCGTTGGTTCACTTTGCCAATGGGCACAATAGGCAGGGTCAGGCCAGGCCAAAGCCAGGAGACAGGAACCCCATCCAGGTATCCCATATGTGTAGCAGGGGCCCAAACACTTGGGCCATCTACTGTTGCTTTCCCTGCTACATTAGCAGGGAGCCAGACAGGAAGCAGAGCAGATGGGATTTGAATCAGCAGCATTCCCATACGGATGCCAGTGTTGCAAGAGGTGGCTCAACCCACTGCACCACACCATCAGCCCCAGGAAAGAGTAAATTGTTAGAAAAGTTCCCAGATAAAAGATCAAGTTTTTAAAAACTCCTTAGATTTTTCTACATTAGAAAATTTATAAGACTAAAATCTCAAAAATATCACATATGGGTTGGCATGATAGAGTAGAATCTAGCAGAATGCCCAGCTGACTTCCCACAGAATGTTTCCTGAGTGTTGGAGTGAAATGGAAAGTTGGGATAGGTACTGAGCCAAAACAAAAAAGTCAGACTAAAATTTCACATAGTCATAATACTTTAAGAGATGGGGGTGGGGGAGCCCTATGGTAAGCATATATCAAGTCTTTCCCTTAAGACATTTCCAGATTTTGAACCTGTATAAGGCAAGAGGTTTATGCAGCAACTAATACCTGAGGGACAAAACTTTCAGAATTAAAACCCCCCATGCCCTCAGTCAAATGTCAGAAGGGCCATCTCCAAGAAAAAGGCTAAGACAGAAAAACAGTAAAAATCACTTGCAATTTTAGAGTGCTCATGACATGAACTTCCACTTAAGAACTGTAAATACATTTAAGAACTGAAAATACATGGCTGATCTCCTCTCATAACATATGCGATATTCTAAAGCAGTAAGGGCAGAGTCTAAAGAGCTGAACACAAACATTTGCAAGGCTGGATATACTATCTCACAATATTTAATTACTGAAGAATCAAAAAACTGCCAGGCTTAAAGAAAAATTCAGAGAGGCCATAAATTACAACAGTGATTAAAATTTGAAATCATTCACCTAAGCTACAACCAAGCCCTGACACAAACTCCTGAAGTGACTGATTTAATTAGCTACTTAACCTGACAATAGAGAAAAGGATGTATGCTCTCTGGTGTAAAGTAATATCCTCAGACTGTATAATCCTTTTGTTGACAATGTCTAGCACTTAATCAAAAACTATAAAACTTATGGGCCGGCGCCATGGCTCAACAGGCTAATCCTCTGCCTGCAGCGCCAGCACACCAGGTTCTAGTCCCAGTTGGGGTGC